TCAACTTGGGGCAAACATTGCGGATATGGAGTAACACGCCTCTGGAAGATATCCCAAATCTGGCACAGAAGCTCCGTCAGCCTCAGGATTTCGGGGTCAAAGCAGACAAAGGCACTGAGCCTCTTGGCGTCACATTTTTAACTCACCTATTTTGTCAACAAAAATAGCCTCCCGATAGACATATGATAGATTATTATTTGAGCATGAGAGCTCTGTGTAAGAAAGGTTAAAATTTTAAGGCGCATGCCGGTTAACTACTGATTATTCAGCCGGAGAACTTAGTAAATAGGCTGCCCATTACCTGACACAGCTTGTAATAACTTCATGGCTATTTGGCTGCGTAAAATTGGTCGGAGGCGTTTAAACAACTAAGAAATAACATCCATTCTCCGACTGGTTCTCGTTCATGTTACAGTGAAACAAGTTTCACTGTATGTAGCCATCAGCTGAAAAAATGCAGGGCCTGAGCATTCGTTCTAGATACACGCAAATTAAAGGTCCGGACAAGGAATCAACACCTGCACCGATGATACAGGTGAACTGTAACGTGAAACAAGTGAGTTTGAAAGCTGCTACACATTTGTCTGGATGTCTGCGCTGACTCTCACGGGAATCGAACGCTACTAGGCGGGAGTTGGCTGAATCAAACCGTAGGAGCCTGTGTAAACTGACTGACGTTTCAGAGTTTGCACGCGTTCATGTCCGTTTGCAGGTATGCCATGAAAGCCTTTTCCTGTAGCTTAATTATATTATGGGAGCTGTATGCCTACCCCTGAAAGTGGTCTTTTTCGGTCGCAATATATGATGCATCCGCGTGTTTAATTACACGTGTTCCAAGTAACCCCGAACATAAAATAACTACCTCACTAGAAGACTGACACCGGGAAGAAATCCTAGTCGGGTGATTCTGACAGTGATCAACTTTAGAGCAATTAAACTGCCACCTGCAAACTTAGACACAACGAGTGGGATCTCTGTTAGCAGGATCTCGGAAGCGAAAACCTGGGAGCATAACTCACTCATTTTCAAGAAAATTAATTTTCAAATAACGCCATCCTATCTGGGGGATCTTTATTCCAGTGGACCTAGCACATTAAGAAGTGACGCAGTTAATAATCTAGGCAGAATTCCTGAATACAGCGAGAACGGAACTCATCGTGCTGTCCCAAATAGCTGTGTATCGTTTGCCACGCCGAGCATGATTATGAGGAGAAGCAGGAACAACAAGAAACGGTACTCCCAATATCTCCGGAAAATTCAAACAATCCTAGTGACACAAAAAGCCCGCAGCCTTGTTGGCCGCGACAGCAAAATCTGCCGGGCTTAGAGGTGAACAACAAAAGTAGACACGGGGCAGGTTAGAAAGTATCGAGGGTCACTGGAGTCAGTCAGTCAGTACGCCGAGTGTACTGCGGGGAATAGAAGCTATTACGAGGCTTACGTATTGGAGAAACGGGTGGTGCGCACACAGCGGATATCCCCGTAATATGATACTACAAACCGATGAAAACTTTCACGCGTTGAAACCATGGTTTCCGATATCAGTGGCGGATTCGCAAGACGAAATCAACAGGTTTTGGGAGGCGGGCGACAAATTCAGCATCAAAACGTGAGGTTTGATAGGGAGCGTATATATTGAGGAGTAAGCAGTCAGTGCTTATTAAAGTGCATTATTAAAGCAAATATCTCCAATGACCGCAATAAGCCTGAAGAATGGAACTGATATAATCAAGGGGTAGGTAAATTGTTGAACACCGAAGTCTGCTTATGCTTTTGGAATATTAGGGAGGAGTCATTCTCCGGTTATAGAAATGTGGATAGCCGTAATGCTGAGAAATGTGACAGAATTGTTCTAGCTGTTCTATATTATTACGTAGCGACGAAGCCAATCACTACGTACCACAACCACCCGATTAGAGGAACGAGAGGCTGTAAGGTCCACGGTCACATGATAAAATCTACGTATGGCATACTTACCGCGGAAGCGTCTGAATACCAGTGAAAGGAGGAATGCCTTCGCTGCGGAGTTATTTATTAGAAAATGCCACAGACTATTGGACAGGAAGCAAAACTCTCATTTGCGTCTTATTTACAGAAACTGAACACCCGTCTTCTCTAGAACGCGTGTTTCTGAACTTTCCCGGAAATTCATTGACACAAACCATTCATTGCTCAAATCCAAGCAAATGCCACAAAGTGACTCCACAAATTCTTCAACAGATCCTCCTTTTCAAGAGACGCAAAGCGAATTTACGAGAAAACATATCACCCACGTTCCTCCCCCATCAGTAGTATCACCGTTGCACCAGGACGTTCCGAATTTTTAAGGACGTTGTGTACATTCAACCTTGAGACCAATTGTGAAGCATTCCATCGCACGTAACTGTACTCTTCGGAGGCTGGGGTTCTGTGCGTTAGAAATGAGATTGTGTTAGCCAGCATATGGCTCAGCAATGGACCGCTGTCAATGTGTTGAAATATTAGAAGTTTGCATGCGTTTACTGGTGAGTGACCAGATTTCTGCTAACCTATTGGCAGATATTGGCCATTGGGTTGCCTACGATTCATCTCAGTGGACAGGACGTCAGTGGGAAGGTAAGCAAGCTCAGCGAACGGATCAACCACTTTCTGCTCGACCACCAGTAACGAAGAGTTTATTGATATCAACGGAGCACTGTTAGAAAGAGGTGTTCAGCAACTCCGCCCATCTAACTCTTTAAAACAATAGGTTTGATCCTGAGCAGCTCAAACAGAAAACACATTTAGACAGCGGCATGTAAATTGCCTCCAGTTTTGAATGTCTGATGAAACCTAAACGTCTTTGCGGAAATGCTTCCAGAGACATCGAAGTATGGACTTGGAACAGCCTTGAGAGGCCACCTATCGAACGACTTGAATACTTGGAGCAACAGGGATTTTGGGAAAGACAACGACTTAGGTTCGTATTTTGTTCCTGTGATACACATATGAAAAACAGCGGCCAAAAACAAGCAGTACCGGGCAGAAGGAAATGCGGAGCACAACCATAATAAGTACTATTGTCAGCCAAATTTCAGTGTGTGGCCCGGACAGGGCGTCGGAAACAGGGTTAGGACGCTGGCCATAGCTGAATGCACCAGAGTGGCAGCCTATTACATTTGCCAAGGACCAGTAAGCGGACAGACGTGAGCCTACTCGTTTCATTGAAAAGTCTCTTGGTGCTTTTGACATTGAAAAATATGAGCTTGAAGGGTACGTCCCCTGAAGGATGGCGCTTGCATCTTAGTATTAATTAACACAGCGTATGAAGCGGGATCCAGTGGTATGTTGTGCAAGTCAAGTGACTCGGCACATTACGTGTTGCACTTTTTCAAACGGAAGAAACATAACATTAACCGGAGCACATTAGGGTAAGCAGATGAGCTATCTAAAAATTCCGGGTCGTTTTGGGAATAGTCCCCAAGGCATTCACCCGAAACTAGAGATGTCTCCGTCATCACTGTTAGGGTGACCGTTGTTTATCAAACACCGTAGTGGTCTTGCAGTTTGGCCGTTTTCTTCATCTTCTGGCCCTACGGAAAACGTGAAATTTGCGGGAAGTTCGGGCTTGGTACAATTTTTATAAAAGGTTATAAAGTAGGTAATCGTGCGAATCCCAGTTTGAAAGGACTAAAACACTCCTTTCGTTCAGTAGGTTGTTGCCGAATAAACACTCGATTATGCGTCTGAAATTCATGTCGCGGTGAAATTGGAAACGTTTATCGGTGCAAAGCAGCAGCCGGAAGTGCGTATAGAGCGGCGGGTATGCTCCCCCCAGGTTTGTATTATGAAAAACTGACGGCAATTCTATGGATGTTTCGAGCGACCTTTCACCCGTGTGTTTATTATTGCGTGCGTAATTTGTCCCCTGTCGTTAAATAGAATGCAATGCACCTGGTGAGATTTCTACCTGTGATGACCAACGGAGTTGGTTAGATGAGTTAGATGCCTAACGACGAACTGCTCAAACGGTCGGCTCTCATTGTCTGGAAAAGAAAAAGTTGAACAGAAACCCGCGAGGAACTTTGAAGAGCACTGGGGCCATCGGAATATTTGGGCTTAAGGTTAGACCGTACTAAAGGGATTATTGTTGAGGAACGTGCAGAAAGCACGTTAACAGGAGGCCTTTCCTGGGGGTCAATTTGTGTATCAGTCGGTCTCACCACGCACATGGAGGTACCTCTAATTAGGGCGTGTTGTAAACTATTGGTACAAGTGACAAGTTAAAAAGGGAGGTGGTCGTGATGGCTGGAAACTTCATACTGACTCTTGGAGCCCACTTGCCACAAGTCTCATCCGAATGAGTTTGGGCACCGCAGAGTGACCAGAATTCACAGTCTAATCACCCTTCACAAACCAATATATATTTGCCACCGTATCATAATTCATCCCAGGCTGCTGGTTGGGTCCCCGGGATAGATCTACCTGCAAGCCGATACGATAATCATTCTGTGGGTTGGTTCAGTGGCGAGCCATATATATTCAAACTAAACAACCGTCTCTGCATCAATGGTCATCACTCATCCTGTATGAAAAATTATTCTAGGCTGATTTGGAAATTCAAGCAAACGCTGGATCACTAAGCAACACTCCTGCGGATTCACGTTGGAGAAGATGGATGATTGTTGGCTCTTCCGTCATGCACTGCCCCTTCCCGAGAACAGAAAGAATAATTAACGACAGAAAAATTGAGAAAATCAAATGTGATTTCGAACGTCTTTGTGTTGGTATAAGCAGGTGACTATGCTTCTTGGACAAGAGCCAGGGAAACGTGTGCGCATCTGCAGTAACTTGTTAGAAGCTTCTGGTTCTGATATCAACAACGAGAGCAAAATCGACCCGGGAATTTCTAGCGAGCGTCTGAAGCTTGTACACCAATCCATGAATCCCTTAACTAGTGACCAATGATTGTTCAGCATTTTGAGCGCGCTGCTTTTTGCGCAGTTGGGTCAAACGCTGTGCCGCGCGTCGTCATGTAGCCCATGGTCGCGGGCGTAGGTTGTCATTCAACAACATTCCAAGATGATAACCAGCTCCAAGCACTCTTCAAACGTCTGGATGTTAACAAAGATGGGAAGATATCCACGTCCGACATCATCAGTGTGCTAGAAGAGTTACACGGTAGTAAAAGCCAGGAAATCTCTGCATTGGCAGAGGTAAGCCGCAATTCCTTATGTCCATCTCTTTAGAGTTTCTTAAGACGATGTGGTCTCAACAGTGGTGGGCTTCTGGACTACAAACATTTCGTGGATTACGTACGAGAACATGATAAACGACTGGTTATTGCCTTTGATCAGCTGGATAAGAATAAAAGTGGTAGGCATATCTCCACAAAACTGACCTTGCAGGCCAAATCACCGTGGATGACATCCGAGCAACCTTCGCGCAGTTTGACATGCCTTTGACCGCTGAGGAGGCTGAGCAGCTTTTGCGCCGTGTTGACCAAGCAGGAAATCTGAATATAGAATACGGAGAATGGCGGGAATTTCTACTTTTCCACCCAGCGGAAAATCTGCCGAACATCTTTGAATTCTGGCGGCACATAGCGGTAGGTCTTCTGTCGGTTCGTATTCTCCATGACGAAATTTTTCAATTTCGATTTTCCTTGATGGTGAGATTGGACACATCTAGATGAGTTCTGCCAGGTTATCTAAAAGGTCGAATGAAAAATTGCTTTCGTTAACATCCTTAAAGCAGTGAGGTCCCAGTGACAAAGAATGTATAGAGTTTGAAACTCCGTTGAGTTCATCGTGACGCGCGCGCATGATATGGTTAAAATGAACGGTTAAATGAGTTACATCTTTCAAGCATTCTGCTAGATGTCAGTAAGACTATCGAGCGTTTGCTCTAGTCGTTCCAAGTAGTGTTCCAGGCACCATGCTAAAGCCCATTTTGGTCTGAATTCGCCATTGGCTAACTTAGGGTGAACATTCCTGACATCAGAGCTTTTCACGTTGAACAACGCTCCTACCTCAAGCTTGTTTCCAAGCTAGACACAACCACTACCCAATGTGTAGACCCCTAACAGTTAGGATATCCTCGGAGTTTTCCACGTATAAAGCGTGAAAATGCTTCTCAGAGTCCATCAAAGCTGTCTTGGGTCTTTTGTTGTCTTTGTGTGGTACCAACGTAGGTCTGGGTTATTCCCTCTTGTTTTCGACGTACTGGTGAAAAAACACGAATTCACTCGCGCCAGCTAGAAATAAATACTAGCGAAAGCCTGAAACCCTTCATCTTCGCCCATGTTCTTGCAGGGGCGCATGTGCGGCGCTGGATTCTAATGATTGAAATTCGGAGATTGATTCACTTAAATTGCCTCCGGTTTCTCTTCCGCCTTCTCCTTCCTCCTACCTTTAGGCGAGATGGCCCAAGTGGTTAGAGCGCGAATTCATTGACCGGTTGGTCCGTAGTTTGAACCCGACTTCTGCCTCTCGGCAAATGCTCGGTTTGCGGGTGTACAAAGGTGTACGGCAGTGAAGCATCAGTGCCAACACTGCTGTTGCTGTCTTTGATGATGATTATGATGATGATGATGATGTGCAAAGGACCTGAAGAGTGGTAGCATACTCTTCGGTTTCATAGACGGTACAGACTTGAGTAACCAATTGATCGCTTCATGTTTTTTTTCGCCACCGGTCTGCATTGGTCGTTTTCCTTTAGAACAGTTAAACACTAGCATTTACTACTGGCGTATGGCTGCCAATGATGCTGTTACTCTGCCTCAAATCACTACTACGGCAACGAAAGTGTGGAGTCTATTAACAAGGATATGGACTTCCGACGCATTCTCTAGGGATCCTGGGAGGACCTGCTGACTAAGAAAGTGTTTGGTTGTGTTTTTAAGTGGAGGTCCCGTGCATTCGCCGATTTCTTGAATTTAAGGTTCGCATACCGCGTGCTTGTGAGTGTATTCCTTACCCATTTACAATCATCCGCCAAAGTAAGGTGTGGAGATTCCAGCTGAAGTGCCAGACCATTTACATATGAGGTGAAAAACAGAACCCCGAAAATAGACCCTTTGGAGATCCTGTCTTTCGGTAGCTCGGTTTTTATGACTCCCCACGACAGCTTTGAAAGTGTGGCCTATTAAGGAACTCATCTGTCTACCGTAAAGTACTCCCGTTGATATTTTGGTCCTCCAGCCTGATCAAGAAAAAACTTTGTCAAAGGTCTCGCCCTAAGAGTCACCCACGTTCTACACGTGCTTAGTTCACTTGTTCCGCCTCTGCGTGCAGTGCTTCAAACTTGAACCCACTGTACTGGTGGCCATTTTTTGGCGTACATCGGATGACCAAAATCCGAGCACCGCTTGGTCACTTGTCAAGTGTTGTTTTGGGGGGTGGTGGTTGGGTTTAGTTGTTATAACACCGCTGGAGGGTCCGTGGTTCGAACCCAGCCTTGGCATCTCGGCTTCTGTTTAGGCTTGCACAACCTAGCAGCTGGTCCGGATGACCTCCACCCGCACTTTTCAACGATGGGGACGAAGTCCCCGGTCAGCGCTTGTCTGATCTGTTTGCTTGCATTTGGGAAAATGATACAGTCCAAGGCAAGTGGGAAGGGTCGGTGCTGGCGCCTATTTTCAAAAAGGAGCTCGTAGTGAGGGTGCTAACCACGGGGGACCAACTTAACTTAACTCAACATGACTGTTGACGTCACTTGTGCTTCACCACCTTAGAGTGGCATGGCAGCTATGCACCAGAAGGGTGCTGCAACTGAGCATTCGTATCCAGCTGCAGGGGTCTCCGCATCACCAGAGGTGCGCAGAAGGGATGAGCAGCGGTACTTCCGTCTTGAATGAGTCTTTTTGACAGACAGCAGGCAGAATTTCACGTTCAAACAAGAGCGAATAGTTATCCCACTTCCTTCAGTGTCCGAATACTAGTGATAGTCAGGTAGGTCCGCTTCCGAGGTTTGTATTCGAATTGTTGAGGGTTGTCGAAAACGGACGCGCAGAGGCTACAGCTGAGCGTGATGCACGACAACCAATGTGGTCAGCTCTACTGGGACCTTCATTATGGTACACTGGGGTGTTTGGGGGTAGAAGAGGGAAAATTGAACGTTTAAGAAGAGGAGACTTCAGTAGTTGCATGTTTTCGCTTTTCCGCCCTGCTACGTGCAGTCACCCGTCTTATGGTTCAACTCGTGCTTGTGCGCTGGCTGGGACACTATCATGGAGCCCACACCTAGACGAGACTACGATTAGGATCCTCAACTAAAGCCTGACCACATTACTGCGGCTGGGTGCCCGCATACTACTATGGCAGTGTGCTTTTTTTTGAGGACAAGTTTCCATGCCTGCTTCGACCTCCAGATGGAAGACCAGAAGACTGTTTTTCAGTGCTGCATCCGTTGATCAACCTGGTGTGAGAAACTCAGTGAAATCCCGGCTCGTTCAGCTGTAACACTTTTGGTGCCTAACTGCCATTCCATCAGGAAGAAGCACGAGGGATGGGATACTGCCACGTTGGCCAAGCCTAGACAAGAGCGGCCTCGGTATTCTGTTTTTGTTTCACGGGGCCGTCAGATTACCCACGTTTGCAAAGTGCAGGATATAAATCGGACCAGGTGCCTTAGTGCCTTCAGGAAACAACATTTCACGATAATATTTTGTCCCAACGGTTCTGGTGTCAATGATCCATTCAGGTTCACTGGGTTCTTCCAGAGATTACTTTGAATAGGTTCAGTTGAATCGTTCTCTCACCCTAGAAGATGACTCCGCGGGCGTTCCACATCTCCTTTTTGGGCCAACTAATCGAATCTGATGAAATGGTGTGACTATCTACTTCGGCTATTCTTCGTCCTGGTCCTTCACAATCCGCCGCATTCTGCCGTTCTTCAGACTTGATTATCTGGTGTTTGCACGGTTCGCATGAGCCATCGTGGTTGCTAGTTTCTGGTATCAGTGAGATTTGCTGTTATCAGCGAAATCTGGCATTCATTTGATCAAACTTGACAGACAGCCTTAAAATCGAAGACAGCTTCTTTCACTCCAGTTTATCCCCCAACCACTCTTCATAATAAGCTCGGTTGTGCATCTCCAGTCGCCTTCTATTCAGGATAGCCCGTTGCTGTTGTCCTGTTCGTACTGGACACAGTCAATGTTCGACACAGCTGTAGAAGTCGCTTTGCATTATCTGTACGGTGCGCTTTGATTTCACGTCTACCACCCACATTTAGTCGTCCAGCTTTAGTGCATGCATCATCCTAGAGGATGACGATATCCGTCCTTCCTGCTGACCGAAGCAGTCTTGACAAATCTTGATAAAACTCATCCTTCTTAGCTTCAAAACCGAAGTCTGTCTGGATCTGTACCGGCCAAAACCAATGGCGTTGGCCGCGTCAATCTGCATTGGTATTAACTGTACCAAACAACCGTACGACAGAAGAGGACTGTCTATTGGGGTCCGGTTCTACGCACTTTCAGCCCCGAGGCGGATTCCAACTTCCACGCAATTTATACTGAGAGCTATTATATCAAGACCAGAATGAAATATGGAATATCTGAGCTTATCCTAAACGGTTTGTGATACATGATCTAATTGGAGTCTTTTATGTGTGTTTCGCAGACAACGTACATCGGTAGAAAGGGGAAGTAACTTTTCAGTAAGGACTGTCTGTTGCACAATTCAACAGAGTTCCAACATTGGAAGCCACGAGGTAGATCAGTTCTTCCGACTCTGGTGAAGGTTTATTCTGGTCTACCTCGTTGGAAGACAGAGACACAGTAGTGGCTAAGTGACAGCAATCTAAATGACCTATAGTTAAAAGGTAGGGAGAGCTGTAGGTGTAAGTCTGAGCCGTGAGCGCAGAGCTGTCAGGATGAATGGTACTTTCCGTTGTCGGACCTGATCAGGCCCATCAGATATTCGCGTCCCGACCAAATTTTAGGAAGAACTTGATCTACAAAGGTATTTGATAATCTTACACTAAACTGTTCCAGGATATCAATCTACGCTTGAAGGGACAAATTTACGACGGGTCGATCCACATGGTGCATTCTTATTGGTGTGAGAAATGGCCACTGCGCTTAGCATAGATGAAACGCCTGTTCGCATTCTATGATCCTTGTCTCCGGAGCATCTCGCGCGCCTGGAGACAAGTGTGCAATGCGGAAATACGGCGAAAAGTCTTGGTTCATCATATCACTGCTTAAGTGGAAGTCTTGATAAAACTGTACAGATTTCACCGGATTAGAAACATTTTGAAGGTGAAACCACAACTATAGCCAAGGCGAACCTTATTCAGCCTGTGATTTGAAGACCAACATGGAGACGAATTATGGAGCGTATCATTGTTATTGTCTCCAGCTGGATCGTCTGGTCTGCGTTACTGAGCGTTAACAATGACCCAGCACCGAGATTAGTGACAATGTCACCAAACGTTTCTGTTTCCGTAACTCTCTGTTGTCCGTTACCTTTGCGTTCCGTTGCGGTGTATTGCGTTCCCTGGCACGATAAGTTTTGCGCCTTGGGTGACAGCTTCCAGGGTAAGGTTTGTCAGCAGAGATTATCGAACGAACAAACTGTCTATATCTGACGTGGTTTTGTTTATTAGCGCCGGTGTTATACTGGAAGACGGCAGGTTACTCGTAGAACTGTGACCCTTGTTGATGACATCCTGCGTTCTGTCATGTTTGGCTCAGCTAACTAACGGCGTTTTTTGGGAACTTTGATTTCATGCAATTCGTATACCAGTGCCAAGTGGATTAATTGTGCGTCGTTAATTCGTTTAATTCCAAACTTTACCCACCAACAACCGATGTCCGAATATTAGGAGCCATGGTCACAGTATTTCGAAGGGGTTTACAATCTTATGTCTGACTGCGTAAACTTCATACTCGTTTCATGATTTTTTAAATGAAGTCCCCAAGCGTTTTGTGGTTTTAATTGACCGCAATTATTCGCACTGCTTTTCCTGCACTCTCTAGTGCCTTCAGAGCACAGCACAAGGCTGAAATTGCATAGGTATGTTACAAACATGTCAGCGTGGAAAGTCATGGAGCTTGTTAACTCTAGTTGTATGGTACCATTTCTTCTGTTTCTGTTGACTGTTAAATTGCACGGCCTCAGAATCACTTGTTGCGAACAAGTTTTTAAGAACTACTTTCGGACAGTCAGTATTTACTTCCTCCGGAATTTCGGGCACAGTTGTCTTTTATTCACTTTTCCTATCCCGTTTCAGTGTATTGATGTTGGTAGTGATGTGGCCGCTGGAATTCCGGAGGACTTCCCAACCACTGAAGTGTTGACCCCAGGAAAACAACTCCTACAACTCACCGCTGGTGCAATCGCTGGTGCGGTGTCTCGCACTTGCACGGCACCTATTGATCGCCTAAAACTGATGCGTCAAGTGTATGGCTACAAGCATAAGGGCAGTGGGTTTGTTGAAGACGTTTTTTGACGTGTCGTGTTCTTGAAAAAACAGACTTTTACGATATGCATGGTAACCTTTTCACTGCAGCTGAGCGCTAGCATTAGCTGGTATCATTGGTGCTAATGGTGTGCTAATTGTTGCAGTTGCCTCCTAGTTCCTAATTGTAACCGAATTCTTTTTGTTACATGGAAACGTGGAATTGACTCCGACGTGCAGCTTTCTCGGTGAGCAGATCGAGGTAAACTACGTTGAATTTCTCAAGTCTCACACAGTTATGTAGTCTTGCAACTGTGCCTGTGTCTTGCAGTAATGGTCTTCACTCTAAGATACCTCGCGTCTATAAAAGGTATATGAATATCGATTCACGCGGTCGGAAAAGATCGCTGGTAATAGGCTTTTCCAGCTTGTGCCCTCATCATTCACTGCTACTCGTAGACCCGTGGGCGACTAGGTTCAGTTTGCTCGTTTCCACATATTCTAGTTTGGTGACCAATTGTGAGGGTGGACAGCTGGATCAACACAAACCAGTCGCGTCTTCCTTTCATCCGTTTTGTTGGGTAATGATATCAGGGCTGCATTGGAAGAGGATGAATAACGTGATGGTACGAAGTGCTAGTATAAACAGCAAAGACCGCCGCGGTCTGAATGATTGCACTGGCAGTAGGGTGCATCGGAAGCGAGGATGTCTTTTGAATAAGTCAAAATAGAAACGTTCATTCACGAACTAATTTGCCTTTGATAGAAAGCTGGTGAATCCTGTGTATTCCGCGAATTGTGTGCAGTTTATTTTCAAATCGTACATAAGGCTGAGGAAAACTTGGGGACCACGCCTACCTGACAAACCCCAAGACTGGTGGGACAGGTCTTAAGCTCTCAAAGAGTCAGGAAATCTTATTTGTATTTTGAAGTTCGCAGCCTTGGAACTGCGGTTGCTGGCTCCTATCTGTCAGTGTGACATGAGTTAGAATGTAGTTAGTCCCCTTTCTCGGTGGAAAATATGGAATGACGCACTGCGGAATTCAGTTTTCGACGTGAGTTCAAAAGCACGTAAGAAATATCGGATAGAACTGGACCGTGCATGTATATTTCAGAATGTGAGGTGAAAGGTCCATTTGGTTCATATGACGGATGCGGATGGTGGAATTAGCGGTTCACAAAAAGTCTTGTGTCGTCCCCTTAACTAATTTGGTAATGTTTTGTCAGACTAAACATGAGGTTGACATTACTGTGATGACGATTAGATTGCCATTCCTTGACGACCGCAATAATCTCATCAGGTAGGCGGCCTTCCCGAATCCCAAGTACCTCTTCCGGTAAGTTTTTGTTTGGCAATTGAGTTTTGTATTGCTCTGTAGCTTCACGAGAATCTAATGGTGATTTCCCTCACCCGTGGGTTTCAATTTTACTTCCTCAAAAGTGCTAACAAACCGCTGATCCTAGGCGTTGGAGCGCTGGTGTCCTTGTATGGTGGATGTTGTTATGCTGACGGAAAGCCTCCGCGGAAGCAAATGCACGTCCTTCATCGGATAGCAAAACTTTTGGAAATCTTGAATGACTGAGCATGTTGCTTTATTCGCTGGGCTGGGGCAATACAATCAAATCTCGCAGCTCAGTGAACAATCCACGCTACCTGAGCTACTAACCTTCTCAATGTTGTTTTATAATGCTGGTCCGCGATGCGACATATGTCACGCAAAACACTCCGTAGGCGTTTGCTAGAACTAGGCAATGTCGGTCGCTGGTGAGTCCCACGAAGTCAACATGAAATCGTGACCGCGGGATTTTCGGCCTAATCTGTGAACACAGTTGTGTTTTTCCAAGGGTTTTGGAACACGTACATTTTCATTCAACCTAACTGCCAGCGAGTGCATTCGTATGAATAACTTTAGGATGCTCGACATTGGTTCGTTTAAGGCCTGAGTTTCCTAAAAAGGGTGTCAGTGTTCAAATGTAACTGAAGTTGGCTGTCGGCAAAAATTGGAGCATCTGATGGGAGGGCTTAGCAGTTCGAGACAGCCGGTCACGCACTGTTGGAGTAGTGACCCGAAACACTTGGGTTTCGGTAGTTACCACAATGTACTCCTAGTCTCATTGTTATGGATGCAACAACTATGTCTACCGGTTATCTGTTCTGAGAATCTTTTGGTTTTGAAAACCCCTAATCTTTAGCATCGTTGTATCGGTATGCAGTATGGAAATCATAGCTCAAGAAGAGGGTTGCTACACGTTGCAAGCAACTTGACATCTTGATATCCACACAAACACTATTCCGTTGGTTGTTGCTCGAACAAAATACTACCTCACCCTTATTGTTGCCGGCTATTGATTGTTTCTATTGTCTTCTATTTATGCTTTGATTTCTTGTCACACAGCATATCGTTACATGCTTCGCGAGGGCGGTCCTTTGTCGTTATGGCGTGGTAATGGAATCAATATCCTCAAGATTGCTCCAGAGACCGCGCTCAAATATGGCACATACGAACACTATAAGCGCCTGTTAACAAGCGCAGATACAAGTGGTGGCTGGTTCACAGATTTGTTTGATGGCCGGCCACTTTTAGCCAAGTTTGTCGCTGGTTCAATGGCTGGATTGACGGCACAGACAATAATTTACCCGTTAGAGGTGTGTGCTTTCTCTGCTTGTGATAGTAGATGGGATTTTCGTGTGTTATCGCTCCGTTTCCTTGAGTAATCCTACATACCTTACTGTTTTGACTACTCAACTTCATGTTCGTATCCTTTTTATCCAAAATGAGAGTCCTTTAGTAAGTAGTTCGTTCCACCGTTACGCCGTAGAGCAACAGTGCTTTCAAGTTTCTGTTGAGACTGTTGACAGGAAACTGTGGTAGGCTATTTTTTCCCGTTAGTTTGGGAACCGAAGCGAAATTAAGTAGTCTATTTCGGATAAGAGTGTAACAGTTCCCCGAACTGGACCGATTAACCCCCAATGTGGTCTAGTTTCCTATCAAGCTGTGTCATTTCGTCCTTTGTACCTTTTTCCCTAATACGGTTGAAATCAAAGCCACGTGTTTCCTCGCGGTAGTCGCGTGATTGCCATGGGCACTTCTTATTACTTTTTGGCTCACAGAGAAAGGGCAGATTTCGCAAGTAAACAAATCGACAGTCTTGAACTATGGCAGGTGCTTGGGCGGGCGTAGCAGTTGGACACGGGTACTCCCACTGTCGTCGTTATCACTGATGATGGTGACCGAATCACAAGAGCACACCCCGGAGCGACTGTTTCCCTGTGCTCGACCATTTCTTTTCCGCCACGCCTCGTGTAAACTCGAGGAAACTGAGGAGCTAAGGCAACAGAGTGTGCCTGAAAGGTCGGCGATTCAAATCCGCCTGTGGTTTTTTGATTCTTCCTTTCTAGGCTTGGATAGTTTGGCGGTTTTTCAGGCCTCATGTTTCCTATATCGGTTACATGATGGCTTTACACTGAACGGTTAGATTGGTAAACGATTCGGTTCGATTTATTTGTTTGTACCTTGTTTACTATCCTTTTACCGGGTGACAGTCGCCCGACGATCGTAGCATCGCGTTTCACGTTTAGTCCCATATTTGACAATAGTAACTGGTGCTAACTTGACTGAGGGAATCCGCCATCTCACTGGTTGCGACGTACGTTGTCAGTCCGTCTGCTCTGAGTGCGTTTATGACATGATGTTGGTGTGGTTGGCCCAGGTTTTATGGCAATCTCTTTCGATTAACTTCCGAATTTCGGATATAACTGTGCCTGAACTGCCTCCAGTTTGTTTTCTCCCTCAGCCCTCCTCAGTGTTTCATAAACTTCTCAATTGGACGAGGATTTACTGAATTTAACTCAATTTTCGCTTTGAAAGTCAAACATCTTGTCAGGCTGCATGAAGCATATTAGCCCTCTATGACTCTCGCAACGTCTAATCATAACGGGGCCTCTTTCGGGCTAGTAATTGGGACGGAATTCTGGGTTCAGTTGACGACCGTTTGTAAAAGTCTGCGTTTTGCCAACCGTGATTCGTGTTTTACTTATGGAAACCACACTGTCTCTTAGAGATACCGATGATGGCGCGCTAACGTGAGAAATACATTTTTAAACTTGGTTTTCCCGTTTAAAACGGCAACTCTCATCAGTTGAGTTCAACGTGAACGAACCTATAAGCACCCTTTGAGCACAAAACTGGCTTTATTCCGACAAGTGTTGTCATTCCACATTGGTCAGGCTAGTGAATGTCCTCTGGAGGGGTCTGGCTGAGGACGGTTGCCTTCAGGACCAATCAGTCCGAGCTCTGAACGATGTGTGATTGTTAAACCCACACGCGATATTACTACTGAACTTGGGTGAATGAGTGAACCAGGTGCTTCATATTTGCTGGAATGCAGAAGGTGAAGCACCACGGGCTCTAAAAAGGAACTCATTCTCTCCGTTTTGGTTTGTTTGCCCGTCACGGGGTTTTCCAATGCAGTAGGTACTGTTTGCCAGTTACATCTATCCAGCCCACCATCATGATGGTGGACTCAATCTCATCGGTGTGAGCTGAACGTCGAACCCAACAACTGAACTGTTGTTCAGTTTCGCCAAAATGTGTCTATAGATTTGAAATTGCGATTCATCAGTCAGCGTAAGACACACGAAATAGTTTGGCAACAATCGTGGGATTGTGATGCAAACCGTCCGATGCACTGCCCTTTCAAGGATTCGTGAACAAATCGTCACACCAATTTTCCTCCGTGTTTTACTCACTGGTGCGGGCCACTCCATATTCGATGGCAGCAATGCACGATAATTTCGGACCACTAGATATCGTAGTCTAAAGACAAAGATTACGAGATAGTACAGGAGTGTGTTAGCTCGAGGAAGGTGTGCTTTCATCTGTGAGAAAATCGGACCACTGTTGCAATCATGCAACTGCGCACACTTGTAAGTGTACATTACTCTAAATGTCGGTTGTCCTTACTCCCACACTTCACTTTCGGGGCTACACTTCAACCCGTGCCGGCTTTAGTCACGTGATTACCGCCTTAGTACGTGTGGCTGGCCACTCATGTGACCTTTTCTGTTACACCACGTGATGGATAACTTCCACTAACGCATGAGCGCTTATGTCACATGGTCCGCATTGGATAGAGGCAGAATAAATAAGCATTTAGCGATAGATTCCAGTCGAAAGTACTTGTTTGTCTGTGCGACTCTCTTCGGAAGATACTTTACCCAAATTACGAGACGCCTACAACCGGTGCCCAGAGATGATATATTCAACAAAAATAAAATAGATCACTTGTTAAACCAACGCACTAACGCATTGGCTCTTCACTAAGTTTTCATTGTTTCATAATGTCACGGGCGACACCTTCAATCTTTAGATCATCTCAATCAACACATTTGCTGGGAATAATGCATAGGAGCAAATATCAACATGTCAGTTTGTTCGAAAATTCGGCGAGAATTTCGAGGGCTAGAATTTTTTTCAGCAAAATATTCAACATTCTGCGACTAAGCTCTTCTCCCAGTATAACTACAAAGCGACTAACGTCGGTCACCTTTAAATTTGAAAGATGCTTACGGTTGTTGTTTCGAAAGAAAGTAACTTGGTGACCCGGTGTTGACGTCATTTACGGTTTCTTGCTTTTGAATAATTTTCAAGGGAGCCGTCATCCAAATCTGCTGTAAATTCCAATCTTAGTGCGAGCATATCGCAATCCGAAAGCGGTGTAGGCCATGAAAAGAAGCCACGGGATTGTCTACGAATCACCCTTAAACCAGCTGTCACCTAAGAATCAGCTTTGTCCAGGAACTACTAAGATTGTAGAGGCAGAAATGCCGTACCACTGAAGCTGCTTGGCAGCAGCTTGTGTACAGCCAACTGGTCCCTAGACGTATGCTTGGTGGCAAACAAGAATCACCAGAGCGACAAATAAGGCTTGTCGATTCAATGTGGTTGGGTCGTGTATCATGAATGCTCAGCCTCCGTGTACCAAATAAAGCATTGTTCATCTCCAATCCTTGCTGGCAAGACTCACTGGGGACAGGCAACGACTTGGCCGTGTGAAATGAAGGCAGGGTGGTGTAGGATTTGGGTCCATGGGTTGACACGGTCGTACTCTGTGGCGAACGTGCTCTCACTTCCGGACCGGATTACCTGGCTGGCTTTTTTATCGCTTAGAATTCGCAAAATGTGCTATTGAATTCCTACTCCGGCATGATACTCAAGTGTGTCTTCATGTTGACCGGATGTTTATTTGGTTGTCTTCCCTAGGCTTATTGAATAAAGTCGTTGCCCTTTCCTATTTCTTTCGACTTTATTAAGACTCTCAACACTACCCTCGTTTGGATGCCTGCGACACTTTCAATATCTTTTCAGCTTATCCTGATCCTTTTACCCAAACAAACCCACACATATGCACACTCCGCTTTTGTCACATCTTTCATGTTCCCCTCTCCCAACTGCACCACCTCCGTCTCCTGCTTGTGCATGCCATTCTTCCTTTATTTGCTCCCACCCCACTTTTGTGATCTAGGTCTTGAAAACACGGATGTGCTTGCGCAAAACCGGACAGTTTCGTTCCATCTGGCACTGTGCACACATCATTTACACACAGTATGGCGCACATGCCTTCTACCGTGGCTATCTTGTCAATGTGATCGGTATTATCCCCTATGCTGGCATTGAGTTGGCTTTGTATGAGGTGAGCATGTTCCCCACCCCTGTCCTTTGTAGCATTATTCATTCACGCTCTCATGTATGGTGATCTCATTTCCCAGGTCTGGTCCTCTTATTCCAGTTCCTTTGGCCTTGCACATCGTTTTTTTTTTCATTGGAGGCTCAACCAAACGTTAGTCAGGTCCGCTACATCTGGAGTCATGTTCTGAGGTCTTTTAAACGATTGGCAGTCAAACCACTCGTTACTCTAGTTCCAAAATCCGCGGATAGGGTATCGACTTTCTTCGGAATTATTGTTTTTAAGTCACAGGTATCATTCCTGAATTGATCCCCCAATAGCGAGGTCTGCTTCTCATCTTCATTTGATGTCCATAAACTACTTGACCTTTGCCCAACTTCATCTTAAGACCTGTAGGATATCTTTTTTATTTTCTGCTGGAGAAGAGCCCTGGGAACTGCATTCAGCAAGAACACTGCCACTCCAGCCCTGTTCGTTTTTGCCGTCGATTGGACTGTGCACCAAACACTTCTCAACTACCTTGAAGTTCGTCCGAGCTGTCTGTATCATGGGAGGACGATTGGGGCCCTCGAACAAAGGCTTTGCCTCAAAATCTTGACCTCAAAAGGCGGTTGCTTAAATTGCATTACCATTCTTAGAGAGCAAGTCGACGCACATGTTCCAACCCTCAACCTGAACGGCCTGGAGCTCATACTTCCGAATCGCTTGCTTTGGGTTAGCTGGCGACATAATTTTGTTTAGAAACAACGAAAGAAGCTTACAATCGCAACTCCACCGCATTGGTCAATCTGCCATCCAATTTATGTTAGAAAGTAATGGTACTTTTCCTCATCACACAAAAGCCTGGTTTATCAGTAATTGACAGTGCTCCATTTCAAGGGTCATGTTTTTGAAGGGGTCAACCGTCGAACGATCACCTCTTAACAACCAAATACTGCATTGTGTTGATATGAAACCAGCCCAAACACTAGGACCTGAGTGCAGTAGTCTGTTGTTTGTCTGCTTCTCCTCCGCCATCCGTCTCATCGTCAAAGCCGGCTTATCCACATACCAGGGATGGTCACCTTAGAGTTGGGTAGCTAACGGCCCAACGCCCACTTCTGGGTCAACTGCCCACTGTGAAGTATAATAACGGATTTCAGAATAAAGTAAGGCATTCTCATCCACTTTCCTAATTTTCCGCTACGAATGAAATCGGTCGGCAGCTGAAGGCTAGGGCTTTTGTCGGAAACTCGAGTCCGAAGCACCTTATCAGATTACTGTAGAGCTAGTTATCGCTGGGAGCTTCTTTGCCGAACGTGGCATGCCATCGCTTCTCCACCATAGTTTCTGTCTCCCTCATCCTGTTCCTAATAAAACCCCCAGTGGTACTCCACCTACAGCAATTACAAGGTCATCACACCGGCTGAAGAGGCGATCGGAATAAAGTGTACCTAGACCAATCACAGCTTGAAGGTGGCACAATTTTGGGGGGCGATGATTCTTCAGTGCATCCAAGCCGTGTTACGACAGGGATCAGTTTGTACGTCCGCTCAACCTCCCATCGCAACGGTGGAGCGGCTTCTTTCCAGGTTTGGCTCCCAGACGCCATCCTTCTTCAAAACTAATTTTCATTTAGACATTACCGGACGATGAACAAAATTCCTTCCATAAAACGACCAAATACCCGTCAGAACAAACTGACTGGTAGTTGCGAAACAAGGAATTCCAGAGTTCTAGATAACCCAGAGGTTGGGGATCGAACTTACCGCAAGGTCCGTGGTTCAAACACAACCTCAGCATCTCCACTGATCCTGTCTAGACTTGGACTAGCTGGCAGTATCTCAGCCTCCACGCTCCCCTCAGTCGGCATGGCAACACGGCTCCAAAATGGTGTTAAGCTGACTGATTATTATCATTACTATTGTTATTATTATAGGAGAACTAAATACAACCACATTCGAATACTGATAATTAGTAAATTTAAAGTGCTATATACTAAGGCTGCCATTCGATACGCACTAGTGACTATGTTTTGTGGAGATTTTATCCTGTCTATGGAGCCAATCTATGCTGAAGAGCCGAGAAGCACTGTACAGCTGATTCATCCCTATTGGGAGTCAGCAGGAGTGCGAATCTCACGAAACTCCAGAGAGTTTCGAATCCACGACTTCCTGGCTAGTAGTTTGAACACTGTTATCTACTCTTTGATAATATATCAGTCAGGCTCGTTAGTTTACCGAGATGTATAAGGCAGACAACTTCCAGGAAGTTATGCTGCAAACGAGTGGAATTCAGCTGAACCAGAATGTAAAAAGAGCTAACAGTCTGAAACAAGGTTTCAGACAAATCGTTAGCAAAGCTGATTGGTTCGTTTAGAGGTATTCCTCTTGACAAAAACAACCATTCGGCCACGAGCGGCTGGTCAGCAGTATGGTGTACTCGCACTTAGACAGCCTATAGCGCCGCTCGTCAGTCACTCACGGGATCCACATCACGTGGTCACACGTGTTGACTGGCTCCTCGAGCAACGTGCAGCCATCAGGGCTCCAATATCAGAAACTTGATATTCAGCTATTCTGTTTCTGAACATGTTACATGCCTAACAAAATGATGTGCATATTTACGATGCCTCATGGTTTTACAGTACCACGCTAGATTTATGAGGTTTCCTCACGTGAGAAGTATGTATAAATCGTAGCAGTTTTTTACTACGTCCCAGAGACACCATGCTTGACTGAATCCGATCAAAACTTGCTTCTCGTGGCTGAGTCCACCACCGTCAGAGGGTCCACATTGGCCTACCGGTTTTGCAAGGGAAGAACATAGTCCCGGTGGTTAGCTCGGAAGGCAAGCAGCATTCCCGTGTGTTGCGAAAGACCCCTATGGAATTTCACACTCTGACGTTTTCTCCCTGTCGGATGTAGTAACCACTGCTTGCCAGTATTGGCATCTGTATGTTTATGTACTTTTTCGCCCGTCAACAACAATTACAACAATTACGAACACTAGCAAAAGGACGTTGATGATAATCCGGAGGAAGCAAGAAGCACGAGGGCTTGGATAGTGCCAGGTTCCCCCGACCTAGACAGGGGAAGTCAAGAGGCAGAGGTTGGGTTCGAACCACAGACCTTCCGGTCAGCAAATTCGCGCTCTAACCACTTGAGCCATCTCGCCCCCCTCCCATGTGTTTGTCAGCCCCGGGTGGGTGTCTGTCGGTTAAATGAGGACCGGCACAATAGAAAATCTCTTAGGGGGAATAAAATTGTGACTTTGACGCGCGTCGCCAGTCTGTGATTTCTTCATTTTACTAACCAACGATCAGCTCGCACCATTTACGCGGCAGATCATGGGTTCACAGTTTGCCATCCGTATTTCCGGACATGGCATTCTGATGAGTCTCTTGATAGGCAGCAAGTTCACGCTCAGTGTTGAATAAACATTAATGCGTTTCTGTATTTGCGGTCAGTCCGCGTATGGTAAGCTCGCCACAAGGTTCTATACCGCTAAAAGACCTGTCCTTTGCGTACTAATTTCTTTCCGGTCTTTTTCCGGGTATGCTGGCCTCCCGAAAATCTAAGGCAATGAATCACTATAGTAGCGAACGAAAACTAACCATAGTGACTCACATGGGTGTGGTGTACGAGCGATGCGGGTGCCCTGTTCATACGAAACGTGCATTTTTGAGTCGGAGTGTATTTTTTCGCAAAGTAGTACAAGTCTGAGTTTTTATCCCTATTGGGGTCGAATTTCTGTGTTGGGCGTGCTTTAAATGACTGTCGGGTGATTTTTGAATTCCAGTTCTTTCATAGCATGGTTTAGTTTAGTTTAGTTTAGTTTAGTTTAGTTTAGTTTAGTTTAGTTGTCCAAGCTGAGTTTGTTTCCCTAATGAAGGAAAGGATGGGCAATAAAAAATCCGTTCTGTTCTCCAAGCTGAGTTTGTTTCCCTAATGAAGGATGTTCTGGGCAATAAAAAATCCGTTCTGTTCGCCTCACGATCTTATTCGCTTGGATCGATCCACACAAAGCTCAACGTATGACGTGTTTTTATAGCAATCGATTAGTTAGCCATTGGACATCTCTATATTTTGTTTGACGAGGAACTCGGGGAACTGCGTCTGGCCTTACTTTCGCATGTGAATAAATAAATAGTAAAAGCGTTCAGCTGTCATGCCACTCGAATGAAGCAACAGGGTCGAGATACTACAGTTTACTCAGTCTTAGACATGGGCAGTCGAGATGCAGAGATTGAGTTCGAACCACAGACCCTCCGGTCTGCGCACTAACCACCGAGTTATCTCGGATCCTTTCGGATACCCACACGAACTCAGCCGTACCAATGAGTCTTAGACACAGTCGAGATGCAGAGATTGAGTTCGAACCACAGACCCTCCGGTCTGCGCACTAACCACCGAGTTATCTCGGATCCTTTCGGATACCCACACGAACTCAGCCGTACCAATGAACAACATACAATAACAGATCATCCAACAGAGCGATATACGAGTAGAAATCGTCAAACTCATGATACCATCTTATTAATTTGAACTTATAAATGCAGAGAAAAAGTAAAATAGTCAGACTATGCTAATTTCCACTTTGTTTTGATGGCGGAAGTGAGAAAAAGTGTTGACCTTCCACTGGTTTATTCTGCAAGTAGCACACCTGAGCTGCACAAATTGCACAACACTATTTTATTTTTGCGCGACCCATTTGGGTTCTAGTACAGTTAACTAGCAATTTGAATCTTCATATTACGCCCTCGTTGCCTAAGTTTCCGGTCCAACACGTGTTCAACCTAGTTATTAAGACCTATGCTGGGAAGATGGCTCGGTTGTTAGAGCGCGAATATACAGACCGCAAGGTCCGTGGTTCGAACCTCACCTCTGCATCTCGACTTCCCCTGTCTAGGCAACCTGGCAGTATCCCAGCTATCGTTCTTCTTTCGGGTGGCATGGTAGCTAGGCCCGGAAAGGATGCTTCAGTTGAAGGCTTTTTGGAGACCTCTTCATGTTTGATTGCGCACTCATGCACCGTAGATTTTTCAGCCCACCGGAGTCTTACAATGGGATACTGACTCTAGAAGGGATCCAAATCACAACACCCGAATGCTGATTAATGTTCTCATCACGTTTGGCCCCACAAGGAAAGGGATTTATGCACCACCGTTTTATCATTCGATCTTCGGAAAACTCGGTGAATTGAGCTCAGCTTCGTTGTCCCAAGTCCATTCGCCTTCTTCCGTTGAATAGGAATTCCGCCGAATACTTGGGAAATTGGTAATGAAGTTCTTAAAGCTATTCTTCGCCTTGTTGCCAGTTTCCACAGCCAATTTGATATGTGAACAATATAAATTACGGTCATTTGAATATGGTTAATCGGATTGTAAGAATTGGTTGGACGGATATTGACAACTCAACTTAGGGACTAATTTGAACGAACGGTTTTGTCAAGCGATACAACAGCAGTGGATCGAACAAAGCGGTGTTTGGGTGCACAACTAGAGTCATTAATTGGGTTGGGAGCTAATTTATGGTGGGTTCAGGAGACTGACTCGCAGCAGGCGATATTTCATCTCACCCGTGCCTTCCTAGGGTTTCATTGCAGCTGTGTCTCTAAAGGGCCTGACTTACTTTAAGGGCCTCGTTGTCATACATTGTTTCCAAAAAACACCGACCCTCGCTCCTCAAATGACCAATGATCACTCTCAATTTTTGTAACCTAGTACATTGACGTTTTTCCTTTCAACACCATCCATAACACAGAGGGTGCGCTGTTTTAGTTCTACTACACTCATTCCGCCCTTTCTGCACAAGTGCATTTCCCCATATGAGAGCCTGTCTTTCTTTGGATTGTGGAAAGTCCTTGCCCGTAAACAAGCCAAACGCTAATGGGGTATTCAAATTCCACTACATTATTTTGACTAAGTTGTGTGTGTTCCTAACTAACCTCAATCGTCGCTTGAGCTTCGGTTCACTTCATGAATACGAGTTCATAAACAAATATGTGATCAAATTCCTCAACTACCATCATATGACTGTTAACGTGGGTGGGGTTTTTCTTACTTATGCTACCTTCCTCACCCTGTGGTTTCGCCTTTATCATTTACAGCGCTGCAAATCAGCCTATATACAACGCTTTATGACTTCCGACGATTCCAGGTACGTGTTTTGTCGTTTCCTATTTCACCGAGATTGATTGTGATGTTACTTTCTGCTTTTTGCAATCCATCCAGTTCAAAAGCCTATCTGTTTGTGAGGTGCATCCTTTGTTTATTCCAGAGAATGTGGCAAACTCTTCTCAGGCAGTTGACCCTGGTTTAGCTGCGTATCGGTGACAGTGGGATTCCGAGCGCATTTGTTTTTTTTAGAAGAAAGAGATAATTGTATTGCATTCCTTACCAACGAACGTCCTTTGTTTATTCCAGAGAATGTGGCAAGCTCTTCTCAGGCAGTTGACCCTGGTTTAGCTGCGTATCGGTGACAGTGGGATTCCGAGCGCATTTGTTTTTTTTTAGGAAGAAAGAGTAATTGTATTGCATTCCTTACCAACGAACGACTCGGCGTTCTTCTCCTGCCATGTCGTTCAGTTGTTTTTTTTTGGGGGGGGGGATTTGGCGTGGAGTTCAGTGAACTAGAGGGAGAGATTTCGCCGAAAGGGAGCCATTCCCCTGAATGGCCCATAACAGCGCACTGCAAAAAGGGACCGCTTCCTACAGTAGGATTAGAGTTGGATTGAACCCCAAAAAAACAAGTTTTCAGGCGCTTGCCTTTGTGTAGGATCTTTTGAGACAGTTGTTTAAGTATTGTGCTGGTATTGCATTGTATTGCTGATATTTCGTATGATCTGTTGGTCCTCAACTCGAGACAGGATTGAAGAGGTGGTGAACACTACCCGAAATGCTAGATCACGGATTGCGAATCTCACGTTTCATTCAGCGGAATTGGGTGTTTAGATAAATGCCCTGATTTTCCGGTGCTCCATGGAACTTGAGCTGTCCGTTAGTGGCATTTCTGTACAGCCGATCGACTCAATCGTCCACCTTTTATGGCACCTAGGTTATTGAACTCCTTTCGGTATCACTATACGCTCCCGGCGTAACGTGGACTATCAAAATTACCTATACGAGGTACCCCTCCAGCTGACCGTCTGAGTCATCTTTGTTAGTTTTGGAGTTACGAACGTCACCTAAACGTAATTTTTTCCACACCTATAACTTCGATTAGTTGTTCCCAAATCCCCTAGGAACTACGCATGAGCGATGCCCTCTCGGTTGACCGCGGTTGAAAATTTGCGCCATGATGTCAGTCCGCAGTCAGGCAGTCGATATCAGCTTTGCACGTGACCTGTATATGTTTTATTGTTATCTGAACGCTTCTCCAGCGCTTTAGTACACTTGATTACTGCTCGTCCCTTTAGCACTTTCGAACTTAAAATGTTAGTCGTTCACTGATCTGGCGAAATGCACTCTTGCGAGTTTGGTGTTGACATTACAAATATACATGTATCGTGATATCCTGCTCGTCCTTTAGCACTTTCGAACTTAAAATGTTAGTCGTTCACTGATCTGGCGAAATGCACTCTTGCGAGTTTGGTGTTGACATTACCAAAATACATGTATCGTGATATCTCGAATATCGTAGCGACTGAAGCATGAGGCGGCCTGGTGCAGCACATTCAGTTGCCTGAAAACATCACAAACGAAAGATTCAGCTGGGTTCCAGGTGAGTCTCTCGAAAAAACAAATTAGTTTGCAAATGAGTATTTCACTAATTTCGCGCAATGTCGTTTCAAGTAGGACATAAGGTTGACGGAAACTCGAGAACTGTGCCTACCTGATGAGCCCCAAGAAGGGCGAAACCGGTCATGGGCTGTCGAGGAGTTTTCAGCAACCTTATGAGTAGTGCATAACAAAGATACTCTCCCGTTTGGTGATTGTTTTCGGCAACTTTACTCCCAGAAAATATGGTCCAACATCTCGGTGGTCATACTGTGACTAGGCCTTTGTGATGTCTATTCAAAGTGGAAGAATATAGTAAGCAAGAATCTTAGTTGGGCTTCCGTCGGGTTTCCCATGAACACTAACGTAATTTGCACACGAGTGTATTTCGCCACTTGCATTCAGTCTGCTGATGGATGACTTCAGCAAGGACGGAACCGATAGTGACTTGTCGAGTGACATGGCAACTTTCCTGGTAATCCTCGAATCAAAGATGTATCTTTCTATTCCAACTGAAGAACAGTTTGATCTGATTAGTAGCAGAGCAGCAATTGTCATTATAGTTGGATTCAATTTGCTGGTCCGTAGTGTTGCCCGCTTGGTGGTTTTGCCGTAAATTCAGGTACTGTTGGACTGAAACTCTTTCTATTGTTGTGGTTGCTTTATTCCTCTTGACGTTTCTTCCGCATTCACAGCTGCTCTTCGGCCCAAAAACTCCACCCTCCCACCTATGTTGTCCCTATATTCGCCGCTGTATCCTCGGTTTGTGCGATTGTGGCCACCTATCCTGCGTCCCTGGTCCGCGCCAAGCTGCAAGCCACCTACTGGAGCTACAGTACACAGCAGAAAATCACCGCCATCAACTTGATTAGAACAATCTGGAGAGATGATGGAATCTCCGGTCTTTACCGCGGCATGCTGACTAACTTGACCAAAGTCATACCCGCCGTGGGTATTAGTCTCGCCACATACGAGGCCCTTCGGCGCGAATTCAATCTTGGTCCATTGGGATCTGGGTGACCGCGTTCCCGCCCCCCCCCCCTACCCGCGCCCACATACAGTGAAATCCATCAAATCGGCTCATCTTTTTGTGACCATACTTCCGATATCTGACCTATTTTCCTATTCATTAGCTTCGGTCGTGCCTTGCACGGCCGTTCTATTTTTATAAAACAGCTCTGTACAGCACACGAGCACGTAGCTCGGTTAGTAGTGAGGGTGAAATACCCTCTCATCATACACTTAATTTCTATCGTTATTGTTGTACTTGTTATGGATTTTTCTAACCTTGTTTCTCCTCACACGGGCGAATGAATGGAAACCCGGTACTGTCTAGTCCCTATCAATTCCTCACCACTCCCTATCGTCTTGTAACTGTACTGCCTACTATAAAATCCACACTCGTGTTTCTTTGCGTCAAAACCCATACTGCCCTTTAAAAATTTCGAGTTTATCATCACTTGTGTTTCATGGTCATGACCGACTTAGCATGTTGATATAACCTACCCCTCCGTGTCTCTCAGCTGGTTAAACTGGTGTACATTTTCAACCATATTCACTTATCCATCACTTGTGTTCAGCGGCGCCAACCTCCGATTTCACGGTCCACCACGCATACGTGCTTTACTTTTCTATAAGAGAGCTGATAGTGTTATCTAATCGTTGTGTTTTCCATCATCGCCTGGCGATAATCTTGGTAAGCGCTGAACGATCTAACCCTCTGCTTATCTGGATCACATCAGATGGCTGGTTCGGCGCACTATCATTTTTTCTACTGGGCTCCAGCGAAACTAAGGGAAACCACGATCCGCTCAGCAGTTTTTGTACTGTAACCTTTCAAGAAAGATGGTTCACTTGAAAAGTTTGTTACAGTCTTCTTAACGGAGGAACTTTCAATGCACAAGCGTCACTTGTTGCCTGGAATCTGGGTAGAGTTCGGCTCAAACTCCGTGCTTGTGAGCCATCCTGTAGATGTGGTAGATCAATCCCTTTGCCTAGATCGTCGTATAGGTACCGGTGTACTGACGGAGCGGGTCCACCTCTATAGTCAGGTATGTTAGGGCATCATTGGCAGCATGACATCAGTGTTCACCACTGCCGCACCTTCTGCCAAGTTTCGCCACTTACTGTACCTGCTGACCGATTTATGCATCAGAGGGGCACAGATTTAAGAAAATTTCGGATGTTTCCGAAGCCCTCCTCAGGTGTGTTGTGAATATGTCGTGTTCGTCGTACCGGGGTGGGCCAGAAAGTGGGAGCTCTCATGATGGGTGACTCCCGTTTGGTGATTGTTTTCGGCAACTTTACTCCCAGAAAATATGGTCCAACATCTCGGTGGTCATACTGTGACTAGGCCTTTGTGATGTCTATTCAAAGTGGAAGAATATAGTAAGCAAGAATCTTAGTTGGGCTTCCGTCGGGTTTCCCATGAACACTAACGTAATTTGCACACGAGTGTATTTCGCCACTTGCATTCAGTCTGCTGATGGATGACTTCAGTAAGGACGGAACCGGTAGTGACTTGTCGAGTGACATGGCAACTTTCCTGGTAATCCTCGAATCAAAGATGTATCTTTCTATTCCAACTGAAGAACAGTTTGATCTGATTAGTAGCAGAGCAGCAATTGTCATTATAGTTGGATTCAATTTGCTGGTCCGTAGTGTTGCCCGCTTGGTGGTTTTGCCGTAAATTCAGGTACTGTTGGACTGAAACTCTTTCTATTGTTGTGGTTGCTTTATTCCTCTTGACGTTTCTTCCGCATTCACAGCTGCTCTTCGGCCCAAAAACTCCACCCTCCCACCTATGTTGTCCCTATATTCGCCGCTGTATCCTCGGTTTGTGCGATTGTGGCCACCTATCCTGCGTCCCTGGTCCGCGCCAAGCTGCAAGCCACCTACTGGAGCTACAGTACACAGCAGAAAATCACCGCCATCAACTTGATTAGAACAATCTGGAGAGATGATGGAATCTCCGGTCTTTACCGCGGCATGCTGACTAACTTGACCAAAGTCATACCCGCCGTGGGTATTAGTCTCGCCACATACGAGGCCCTTCGGCGCGAATTCAATCTTGGTCCATTGGGATCTGGGTGACCGCGTTCCCGCCCCCCCCCCTTACCCGCGCCCACATACAGTGAAATCCATCAAATCGGCTCATCTTTTTGTGACCATACTTCCGATATCTGACCTATTTTCCTATTCATTAGCTTCGGTCGTGCCTTGCACGGCCGTTCTATTTTTATAAAACAGCTCTGTACAGCACACGAGCACGTAGCTCGGTTAGTAGTGAGGGTGAAATGCCCTCTCATCATACACTTAATTTCTATCGTTATTGTTGTACTTGTTATGGATTTTTCTAACCTTGTTTCTCCTCACACGGGCGAATGAATGGAAACCCGGTACTGTCTAGTCCCTATCAATTCCTCACCACTCCCTATCGTCTTGTAACTGTACTGCCTACTATAAAATCCACACTCGTGTTTCTTTGCGTCAAAACCCATATTGCCCTTTAAAAATTTCGAGTTTATCATCACTTGTGTTTCATGGTCATGACCGACTTGGCATGTTGATATAACGTACCCCTCCGTGTCTCTCAGCTGGTTAAACTGGTGTACATTTTCAACCATATTCACTTATCCATCACTTGTGTTCAGCGGCGCCAACCTCCGATTTCACGGTCCACCACGCATACGTGCTTTACTTTTCTATAAGAGAGCTGATAGTGTTATCTAATCGTTGTGTTTTCCATCATCGCCTGGCGATAATCTTGGTAAGCGCTGAACGATCTAACCCTCTGCTTATCTGGATCACATCAGATGGCTGGTTCGGCGCACTATCATTTTTTCTACTGGGCTCCAGCGAAACTAAGGGAAACCACGATCCGCTCAGCAGTTTTTGTACTGTAACCTTTCAAGAAAGATGGTTCACTTGAAAAGTTTGTTACAGTCTTCTTAACGGAGGAACTTTCAATGCACAAGCGTCACTTGTTGCCTGGAATCTGGGTAGAATTCGGCTCAAACCCCGTGCTTGTGAGCCATCCTGTAGATGTGGTAGATCAATCCCTTTGCCTAGATCGTCTTATAAGTACCGGTGTACTGACGGAGCGGGTCCACCTTTCTAGTCAGGTATGTTAGGGCATCATTGGCAGCATGACATCAGTGTTCACCACTGCCGCACCTTCTGCCAAGTTTCGCCACTTACTGTACCTGCTGACCGATTTATGCATCAGAGGGGCACAGATTTAAGAAAATTTCGGATGTTTCCGAAGCCCTCCTCAGGTGTGTTGTGAATATGGCGTGTTCGTCGTACCGGGGTGGGCCAGAAAGTGGGAGCTCTCATGATGGGTGATATAACCACGTCTCGTGGACTTTGCTTTTTGGATCATAAATCAGGTGCTCGTCTGCCTCGCCGGGCTATTTTTTTTCGATCACTGCCCAGAATAGAGACACTCCATGAACCGCCAATGAAGTTTGAAAACTAGGCTTAGTACTCCCAGATGGGTTGAAAATACCCCCTCTGAGTGGCGACTCTAGATTCGACACCGGTGACTAATGACGCTGACGTGCGCTTTATTTCACCGCCGCCTCCAGTTCAAGGAAGTGTCTCAACTCTACATCACTCAACCCGTTAAACCTCCTCTTGTTCTCGGTGGACGAAACTGTTCAGTTCATTTCAGTTATTCGGCTAACAATCAGGTCCGACGGCTATTTCGGTCCCAGTTGTTTGGCGATTGAAGACAAGACTGCCATGCATTGGAGGTGGTAAACTCAGGGACGCGTAATAGGTCCGCTTAATTGGGGATTGAGGCAACTACGCACTGAAGGCGACAGTTTTGATGCCATTGACCGCGGGAATTGGCCATATATCGTCTGTCATTGGCGCGTCACGTGTCTGGATGTGCATCCATAGAGGCGACAGTTGTCGGCCGTGCTGAGTTTATTGGTTGGGTCGTTGGCTGTCCACCTTTCGGTCGTTTCCATTCTGCAAAGCCTGTGGAGTGTGATCAGCTCGTCTGTCCTAGAAGATATTTCTCCTCATCATCATCAAACCTGGGAAACGGGTCAGACACGGGTTGTCAAATGCGGAAGATTTGTACTGTCGTAGCCTCCCCAGCTCGAGCAACGATCTTGCCCGCCGGCAGTTGACTTCTGTCGGATACAGGCAGCATTGGGAATAAAGTTGTGAGGAAGTTTGGACGACGGTGACCTTGTCTGACACCGCTGGGCGTTGTGAGCTTAGGTGAAAACCCACCATGAAATTCTGCGCCTCCAGAGTGGCGTTGGGCATCGTCTTCATTAGAGACATGAATTTATCCTGGACATCTTTAACTGCCGAGTCTGAAACAGCTTTCCGAACAATTAGAGCCATTCGAACGCAGCCTAACAGTAGAGGTAGCTAGCCAAGTAGCAGTTGCTTGCCACGGAAAGTCGAACTAAGTTTACGTTGTCTGGTTATCTCATAGTGCGTGACCCCTTAGGATAATTCCTATTATTTTGTCTTCGAGTTGCATTTCTGGACTCGTCAGTCACCTCAATTGATGTGCACTTTCTCCTTAAATGAGGGCGAGATGGTCCAAGTGGTTAGAGGGCGAATTTACTGACCAGAAGGTCCATGGTTCGAACCCAACCTCCGGCTCTTCACTTCCCTTGTTTAGGCTTGGTCAACCTGGCAGTATGCTAGCCCTCGTGCTTCCTTCGGGTGGCATGGCAGCTAGGCACCGGAAGGTTACTACAGCTGAACGTTTCTCTAATGAAAGAGGACCGACAATACGAAAAATGCGTGGTCTGCTGTGTGAGGTTACCTCCTTGATTTATCAGCATACTGGAAAGATTAGTTTCTCTTTTTAGAAGCGTAGGCCTGCGGTTCGTGTCTGATCTTGTCAAGTTTCCGCCTCTAAATTGAACGGTAATTGTATATCTTGGCTGCTCCCTTGTTTTACGTCCCGTACTTCAATTAGGGTTACTTGTCCCTGACCAGTGCCGTTTTAACTGAAATCTCCAAACTAACGACAGCCTACCTAATCCACAGGGAGCATGATTACTATGAAGTCTAGATGAGGTTAGACCGTAGCATACGAGCCTGCTCAGTCTGACTGAATAAGGTGAACTGGACAGTATTTCGATACCACTGATTGACATATATCATTGACAGTGTTCAACACCGATGCTTCACTGCCGTACAACCATGATTTATTTGAAAGCCCTCTTTTAAAGAAAAGATTAAAGGTGGACGGGGAAAGGACTTAGTGCTAGCTTACCACAATCATTCCGAGGTGCCTACACCTCCAGACATTCACTCATGCAATCTGGGTAGAAACTGACAACAAAAGCGCCACTGACATCGGTTGGCAGCCATATCTTGTAGTGTCTCCAACCAGGCACAGTGAGGATCACGCGGCCCCCATCCTGAAAGGTGAGTAGCACCGACAGCGCCCAAACGTTTCGTGAACTCCTTCATACTCCTCTGCCAAGTCAAGGGTTGGCCACCTCTACTCCATCCTGAGGTCAAATTCGCACCAAACAAGTGAATTTTCAACAAGAAAAAGAACGTGCTTGAAAGTGATAGGGAAATGGGACTTTTTTTCGACAAATACTCATTTCCATATCAATTTGGTCCTGACGGAAGACCCATCTGGGACCTAGCTGAATCTCTCTTGTATCATGTTTTGTTCGCCCGCAATTATTGGTGCGTTCCGATAGTAACCGCCGGAAAAGCATTCAGAAAACACGCCCAGGCTATCTGATTTGTTGTTAAGCTATTCCATTCAGTCATGAGATGATAGTATCCAACACCCGATTTAGGGCTGAAGTGAGCGATCAGCTTACGAACGTCCTCAACGCGGAGAGACCACATTTCTCCCTCCTTTATTGGTACGACAGAAACTGTGGCGTTTCATACCCTACCTTTCGAAAGAAGGCAGATTTCTTTTCGAATTTGTGTTTCAAGTTGGCAAAAACCATTCTAGATCTCCGGTACGTCTTCAATTCCACCACTGACGGTGCTAGAAATCCTCAGGTAGACCCTACCAGGAGTAAACGCATACGTGGTTTCTCAGGCAGTCTTGAAGAAATACCGCACATTTATGCGGCGCAAAACATGTGTTACCGTGATTCTCAAGTAGCCAGGCATTCAATTACCATATGTAAACTTTGTGAGCCATCAGCAGGAGGCCCATTATCATCATAACCTTTAACAACCTTTCGAAAAATGTCTTCCGCGGTGTGGCATGCTCCGTCAGAGAAATGAAGGATAATGGATAATTGCCGTTTGTCCTAATCTGCTGTTGGTTAAGCTGAAAATGACATGGGAACTCTTTTCGGAGGCTCAGATGCCCAGCAAACGGTATCACAACTGTCCTGTCTACCAAGTCGAAGGCGGCTACGATCTACAAAACTGCCACATTCGCAGTCTTTGTTCCATCAGCTGCATTGAATGATGACTTTATCCATACACCTGCGTCCGGCATGCGGGTACCTAGTCCGCTTTGCTAATCTTCTGTCTTTTAACCGGTTCCTCAGCTTGAGACTTTTTCTGGATTGGCTAAAATATTCCCGCTTTCTGTATGGTACTCAACCTTTAAGCAGAATAAATCTGGTCACCATGTGGATTGAGCACAAATTGGTCTGTTTTTTCTTTGTCTTATCATCCATTTTATTCCGCCGGATCAATGAAATTTTACTCTAAGTTAACATATAACTGGATTCCTAAATGTTTCATTTCTAGCTACATACTCTGTGAAAGTTGTTACCCATATCACTCCATAACTGTTCGGATGACCATCAATTTGCGCGGCATGCTACAATTGATCGGTCAGTTGTAATTTTATTGCGTAGCAACTAACAATTTCGAATCAATGTATCGGGAGAGAATCGCAATAGTCTGGGTACGTCGAGACTTGTGTCTGGATATCGTGACACAATACACAGCGTCCACCTCGTGCGTGTGTCTGCCTCACAGTCTGTCTGAACGGCCAGCTAGCCACATTACAGACGGCCTATCGATCCAAATCCATGATCCTGGCTTGATCGATCGGTTTATGAAATTCCATTCACACATTTCACCTTGTTAACATCGGTCAACTTTTAACAATAGAATTCCACTGAAGTAGGATTGATGAGGATACAGTCTACTGGGTGGATAGCTAACGATGTTTGTCCACATTTACTGGGACAGCTTTGGAATACACAAGCCAATCATTCAATATATTTGTGAGACTCATCAACTTGATTAGGTGAATCCAACTATTATGGGGCTTTTAGAGAAAGCTTGTAGGACAAATAGGGCTTTTTGCACATAACTTTATCCCTCCTATCGGGGGAAGTTCGTGCTATGTTTAGTAATTTGTAAGTAGCCATGTGATACTGAATGCGAACATCTCTAAAGGCTCGAGAAACAGCGATTTTTATGGTACCACTACAAATTACACCTCGTCCCTCCCCATAGAGAGCCAAATGAATGTAGATCAATCCCAGGAACCGAAGGGATTTCGCTCTTCACATTACGTTACCCTCGGAGTTGTTGACTAGGAGGTCTGTGGAAACCCTTGAGTCCTTTGCTGACTGCATGGCGGCAGTGCACCGCCGTGGCAACCGCAGGTGGGAAATTTGATCTTTTATTCACTGCTGAATCCCCACTTGCCTTCTAAATTTTTGCAGTCCCTCTGACTTTCTTTTCCTCCAAAGCCATCTCCCTCTCGACGCACGACATCGAACCTGTACGTTCCTGTCAAACGCGGTATTCGGTAGCTTTGTACTACTGATCAGATCATATAATCGCTGTAGTACACAGAGCCTGAACTTCTATGCAGAACAAGCACGACTTGCTCATATCAGCAACATAAAAACGTATTTAACTATTCCACTCAACATGACGCTCGCTTGCTAACAGGACTGTACCACACCCTTCTGAATATCACATTTTAAAAAGCAGTTGATATTGTTGGCCAAGCCAGCGACCTGATAATTACTACGTTTCGCATATGACTGAAGTTACCGAGACGTGCAAGCCGGTGGGCGGTCGAAACTGCCAGTCACTCGGTTAGGTGTGTGGTCTCTCTGCGTCCAGTTGATGAGTCCAAAAGAATACAAAAAGGCCTCGCACGATTCAGATTCTTGGGATCCGGTCACATGATTGCTAAAACAGGTTGATTGTTTCTCCGTATTTGGCTACTTTGTTAGCACACACATACGCGGTCCCAGTTAGCACAGGTTCATTATGCAAGGCGAGGTAGTCGCTGGAAGCCAGCGTTGACCACATTCGGGTCAGATTCAAGAACACAGACGTAACGTATAAGCGCTTCCTGATGGTGATGTAACTGTCTCAAAACACCCCAGTTTAAGTGTCTCGTCCTTTCACATACGGTATATTGACAGAAATAAATGCAACTGTCGAGTTCCTTGTTATCCCAGCTATGATATCAATCACATTATGAGCAGGATTTTTCAGCTCTTTACTTATAGCCTGAAGAGTTACTTCGTCCTCAATGAAACACTGAGGCGAACACTAGAAGGTCTTCAAAACCCTGGTGTTCAGATCGTCGCTGGTGAGAACCTTGCCGACCTCGAGTACGCAGACGATACCGCCTTCATTTTTTGAAGCTGAAGACAAAGCATACAACTTGATGATTAAAATGACCAGCGTCGTACCATCTTTCAGCGTTCAAGTTGCACCTTCAAAGTTCAAAGTTATACCCCAAGACGTGCAGTCTCTGAACATACTCCTTATTATTCAAGAAGAATCACAGGAGGATATCGAGAACTTTACATACCTCGGTGTTTGTATCAGCTCTGACGGAAGTGTGTCTGATGAAGTCAGTGCACGGATGTCAAAGGCCCAACTCATGTTTGCTAATTTGCGCCACTTGTGACACCAAAAAGGCAAATCATTTGGCCTCAACGGTCGCATGTAGTGGGCTGAAGTAAGGGTTGCATTGTTGTATGGTTGAACTAACTTTTATGACCATTGTTTCATTTGGCAGACCGGACCAATCAGTTGGAAAACGCTTGAAACCAGTGGATACCTCGGTGTTGTATCAGCTCTGACGGAAGTGTGTCTGATGAAGTCAGTGCACGGATGTCAAAGGCCCAACTCATGTTTGCTAATTTGCGCCACTTGTGACACCAAAAAGGCAAATCATTTGGCCTCAACGGTCGCATGTAGTGGGCTGAAGTAAGGGTTGCATTGTTGTATGGTTGAACTAACTTTTATGACCATTGTTTCATTTGGCAGACCGGACCAATCAGTTGGAAAACGCTTGAAACCAGTGGATAAGTCATTGTTTTCGGAAAAGTTTGGGGGACAATAAGTCGTTTCCTAAACTTTTCCGAAAACCAGATCATGTTGAAATACTTGTGCACTAGGTTTGGTGCATGAGTCATCCGAGTTAAAGTTCTGTTCAACGCTTTTCCTGCAGTATACAATAGTTAAGCTATTCTCCACTTGAGTGGATAGTTCATTGGGCATTATCTACGTTGTTTAGGAATCCCCTAGTCAATCCTTCCCACATCGGCCAGGTTCACAGATCGTCTCACACCACTTGGTGTAACATAACCCATAAGAGCATCTCCACTGTCCGTTATGACGGCCCAATAGAGAAGCAAATGTCAGCTGAAGTACGCTTAAGAAGTTGGGACATCAGGCGGAAACCGTACAATTGCTCAGCTGATTGTGTGCACATACATGCGAACGTGGTTGTTACACTTTGCCTTGACCAGTGAGTCACACCCAAGTCCTGATTCTGTTCTGGGGTAAAGTCAATTTAGTCAAGCCAGTAGGTGTTTGTGCCACCGGATCAGCTCTGATCCAAGCGGCTAGCCCCCGCCCAAACTTATTCACCTGATGACCCAGAACTATTGAGTGAACAGTTGCAGCTGCGAGCTTTGAAAGTACCAATCCATCCCGGCAGCCACTTTCCATATAATTCTATGTGGTTCTTGTGCAGACGATTGAGAAGCATGGGCTGCGGGGCACACTTTTAACGGTGCTATGGTATGTTGCTGTATCGTACATTCCTAATAGACAATAGTAAAAAACAAGCAGCGGTGAATGGATTGGGAAATATGGATAGACAAGCTCAACCTTGCTGTACTCGTTGTCCACCACATACGACTTCTGAAAAATACTTCATCCATTCCACTGATTATTTATTTGGGAAAAAACCCCTATCTGGATGATACAACTGCATTCGTATTTCGTTTTGAAACGTGTAGTTCCAAATCATGAGCAGAACTACCACTGACATCGGTCGTCCGTAGATGGTGTCTTTGGTTTAGACGCTATTCCGTTTAAGCTAGACTACCTGCTCCATTGACTGCGTGACTTTAGGTAGGGTTTGTCAGTGGTGTCCATATTGGCACTACTGTTGCGGTCGTAATCAGTAATATATCTAAACTTCATCGAGTCATTTCAGCTACAAAAAAGGTCCAAAACTGGATTTTCTTTGAACCTGTAAAGACCGTTGCATTCACCCCGGTATCACTTTAACTACCAATGAGACCATACAATACAGGCGGTGTGATTCGCCTGGATAGGCGTTTATTGGGCTTTGTTCTTGTCATCATCATGAGGGGAGCTTATGAAAGAATTTGACAGAGATCCAACTCTTCTGCTACAATCTACCTAGGTCGTGATCAAGTAGGATAGGGGGTTCCAGCGTCTGTTAACTTCGAACCTGTGAGAAATACGGCAAGCAGACGGACTGCCACAGGTCCGGAAGGTCTGCTTTTTTGCCACAACCACAACAATACGCGCATATAAAGACCCCGGATTATTCCACGCACGCTCTCAAGTCCATAAACAAGGTCACTTAATTGAGACAGGCCCGCAGTTGCTGTTTCTGTCGCATGTTCGGTCGAGTGGCGGCGAAACTGGTCTTAGCCGAGTTGTAGCTGTGTACAGGTTGATTGATACTTGACAAACTGTGTGCCAGATATTAGCACAACATTGGCTGTTTGGAACCGATGGACGTGTACTATTCCATGGCTCAAAAGAACGTTAGAAAAAGTACCAGATACACTGACTATTTTTGTGACCCGGTACTCCGAGATCATCTGGATTTAAAGCTAACTAGAGTGCACGAATCACGAATGGAAGAAAGCGATGTTAAATGGTAATAAGAACTGTAAGCTAAGAGGTCCAAATATCTGAGACTGCTATTCGAGTGGTGTCGGAACACAAAAGAGAACACGAAGTAGCCGCTCTCTCCATTCCTTTTTAAATTCGTCATCGATGAAATAATGAGACGAACGGTGGAGAGACGTGTGTATCAAGCTACAGTACGGGCTGTTTTGTTGTGTGGCTGTGAGACTTGGCCTGTTCGAGCAGTGGAACTGAGACGTCTTCAGGTGTTCGACAATCGTTGTCTCAGGACCATAGCTTGTATGGGTTGGTGTCGGCGAATCCGTAACGAGGC